TCAAGAAAAACTGGGATTCTCTCACAGAGATGTGGGTGATGGCTCATCGAGTTGATCTGCCTCACTTCAACAACCACACGAACAATCGCGTGGAGAGTCTGTTTAGTAAACTGAAGCGAACACGCAAGGGAAAGCTGACAATGCGGACCAGTTTTGAGGCACTTTTCGCTTACCAGAAGCGTTTGGAGGAGGACTACAGATCCAAAGTGTCGATGCCAGGGACATTGAGAGATGTGGCTTACACAGAGGAAATGAACATTGCCTTAGGTATGACGACACGCTGGGTTGCACAAGCTATCAAGACGCAATACGACGTTGCAGTGAATGACAACCTCGCTAGCGCTTACGCGTTCAAAGATAACGGTTCTACTGTTACTGTGACACATGAGAACCACGAGTTCCTGATTGAGAAAGACGGATGGACGTGCGACTGCGAGTTCTCACAGACGATGAAGTTGTCGTGTTGCCACGTCATGGCTTTCAGAAAGGCGTGTGGCAATCCATTTATCATCTCTTATGCTGCTATCGAGTCCGGGTAAGCCCAGGTATTAACCAGGTATTTTCCAGGTTTCTAACAGATTTCTCTTCTTGTGGTGGATAGATGGTTTGGCCAAAGCGGGTGTTCACCCGACGAGTTGTCTGAGGTATCCGATCCCTTTGTAGCCAAAATATTCAAGTCCAAACTCAACGCAACACCAGGGAACGCTGGACTTAGCGAACCACAGAAGTACAGACAAGCTCAGCAAGCCTTTGTTCGCATTGGAGATGAACTGGCACGCTTGGAGGACGGAGAGTTCGTGTGTGCGGTGCAGCAATTGGATCAGTGGTGGTATAATTTGAGGCAGGGGAAAAGACTAAAAGGGGCGAGGGCAAGTTCGGGGGATGAGGTGGACAAGGAGACCGAGAACTGTAACGGAGGAGTAGGTGCAAAAAAACGCGAATGAATGCAGTGATTTGGAAGCTCCTACTCAAAAGGCTACAGAAGGCCTCCTTTCAGTTCAGTAGGGAGGTTTAAGGGCGGACGTGCGATGGCGACGTCCGTACCAGCCGTGCGTTTGACAGGAAAAGTCAGGCAAGTTGGCCGCCCAAAATTGAATCGCGCAGAAGTTAGGGAAAAGACACGCGTTGCTCTCAAAGAGGACAACGCCGGAATGAATTTGAGAGTGATCCTCCGCGAAAGTGACGTTTGCGACGTTGTCGCCACCCTCCGCGAAATAAAGCCTGCTGTACGAACCGTCGGTTCGTATTTAGGTACTCACCAGGTCAAGACCGTTGACCAAAACCGTGCGATGAAGTGGAGTGTCGACGAAGAATATGTGGCATCACGAGTGCGATTTAGGCTCCCGGAAAGTGTTATTGATGACGTTTTAAACTTGCTAAAGAAGGGAATTGGCCGGAACGAAGAGATTGAGCTCGGTAGTGATGGAGAATGGACTGGAGATATCACTTGTTTCGTGGTTACCATCGAAAAACTGGGTCGGTTTACACGTGAACAACTGGAAGCGATGAAGTGGTTGTGGAATTTGCAAGCGGCATGCCGTAATGCCGTTCTGAGTTGTACTTGGCTAAGTAGCGTTGTCAAACCAGTTGCCGAGCAACCTGTTGCCCCACAAGTAACAAACTTGCAAATTCTAGAGTGCCGGCCGTATGCAGAGCTAAATGGATTCGGATTCGATTTGACTTACTCGGATCTGTTCTGTCCGCGAGACTCTGTATGGCTGAATGACAACACCATGAGTGCTGTCACTGTATCCCTGGGACGCTACAAGAAGAGTTTGAGCGTTATGTTGCCTCCACCGACCGAGAACCCAAGTGAAGAACTGCAGTCCAGCACCATTGACGAGATTAGCCAAGCGACCACGAAGCGACCTTTTGTATTGCTGCCTATTAACCTGGGAGGTGTCGATTGGGCTGGTATAATAGTGAATCGAGCTGAAAAAAAGGTGATGATTTACGACAGCTTGAACGGCGCCAAAGACAGAAAGGAGCTGAGAACGGTGGCGGACTTCATTACGACAAAGGCTTTGAAAGATGAATCGAACCTGAAAGTGGATGTTACGGAGCCGACGCAGATGGACAGCAGCAACTGTGGAGTTTTTGTGAGCCTATTCTTTTGGAGTGCAATGAGCGATGAAGCTCCAAGTGATCTTTCGCCTACTGGTCTCACCAAGCTACAGTGGTCACTGCTGAACGCGATTTTGAAGATGAAGCAGCGCTAATGTGCTGGAAGAGCAGTTGTAAGAGCCTAACCTTCAATACATGCGAATACCTGAAGAATACCTGGTAAATATCTGTTTCATAAGATAAACTATGAATGCAGTAGTGTTGCAGGATTTCAGCCGACACAATGGAGTGGCAGCCATTCCAGCTTTTTATCGAGTAGGACGCATGTGAATTGACCAGGTTTTATACCTGTAAAATACCTGGTCCAGCCCTGACCTTAATGGGTGGCTGTGAGAAGTTTTTGCCATTTCACTTTCAAATTTAACTTAGTTCCGCGCCTACGTATTGTCCAGTTACTTTCACATGAAAAATACCTGGTACTGAAATATACTCATCTAAAATAAATTACGCTTTCTGATTCGGCGATACCTGTATGAAACCTGAAACCAAACCTGGACAATACATGGAGTATCAGAATTCTGAGAAATTTTGTTATCTGGAATACC